AAGGGGGACCGGTGCCAGTGTGACACCGCTGCCCCAGTGCGAAGGGGTCCGGTCACACTGCCCCAGTGTGAAGGGGACCGGTGTCAGTGTGACACTGCTGCCCCAGTGTGGGACCATCCAGGGTCTCTCTGTGTGGTCTTGTTTAATATCTCTTTCTGTCTCTCGTCTCTCGTCTCTCTCCAGGAACCAAGCTGTCACTGAGGGGTCGTCCGTGCGGAAAAAGCAGACAGGAGACACCTGGGAAGTAGCGGGTGGGGTGAGGGCTGTGCCGACTACAGAAGAAGAGTCCATCCCTCTTCCCACCCTCCTCCGCCCTCCCAAAGTGTCCGACACTACACCCCAAGGGATGGCAGGTAGGTGAAGAGGAGTGGCCCTGCCCAGTGTCTGTGTGAGGGAAGGGGTGCGAACAGGAAATAGCCTCAGACTACAGGGGAATGGGATGAGGCCTCTCAGCCCTCTTCATCCCCCGCCCCACCCCCCGCCCAACACCCCTAACCCTCACGAGGCTGTAGCCCACGTTTGTATGCCGTATGATCACTGCTGCCTTTTCTCCATCGCCTCTACCTCCGGTTCCATCGCATCCCTGGCTCGTTCTCCTGAACTCCTGGGAATGTCATCCCAGAATTCTGTGGTCCCATCCCAATGAGGCGAACCCTTCCTGCTCAGGGATTTGGGATTAAGGTGGGGAGTTGGTGGTGGTGCAGTGCTGCATGGATCAATGGGGCGGCCTGGTGGCTCAGTAGTTAGTATCATTGCCTCACAGTGCCAGGGACCCGGGTTCGATTCCACCCTTGGGCGACTGTCTGTGTGGAGTTTGCACATTCTCCCCTGTGTCTGCGTGTGTTTCCTCCGGGTGCTCCGGTTTCCTCCCACAGTCCAAAGGTGTGCAGGTTAGGGTGGATTGGCCATGCTAAATTGTCCATAGTGTTCGGGGGATGGGTCTGGGTGAGGGTCAGTGTGGACTTGTTGAGCCGAAGGAACTGTTTCCACACTGTTGGGATTCTATATAACAAAAAAATGCTGGGGCCACAGTAATTTCCAGTAAGTTTTCAGGACTTGGATGAAGAAAGTGAGCATTTGTTGCCAAGTCTGTGGATGACATACAAAAACAGGCAGGAAGGGAAGGGGTGAGGGTGAACACCCACGAGCCTGCCAGGAGATATCGGAAACATTAGAAAAAACAGAGGAAACTTAGCAGGTCTGGCAGCATCCGTGGAGATGGTGGAGGAGTTTTTTTTTTGATCAGCGAGAGCTATTTCGGGAGCACATCCAGTGAAGATATTTGGGAGGAACTGAGAAATAAGAAAAGGATGGTCACCTTATTGGGATTGTACTGCAGACACCCCAATAGTCAGTGCGGGAAGCAAATTTATAAGGAGACCTCAGATATCTCTAAAAATAATAGGGTTGTAATGGTAGGAGATTTTAAATTTCCAAACATAAACTGGGACTGCCAGGGTTTGGGTGGAGGGGAATTTATTAAGTGTGCCCAGGGAAATTTTCTGATTCAGTACGTGGATGTACCTACTAGAGAAGGAGCAAAACTTGACCTTCTCTTGGGAAATAAGGCAGGGCAAGTGTGGACTGAGGTGTCAGGGGCCAGTGCCCATAATTCTATTAGTTTTAGAGTGGTCATGGAAAAGGATAGGCCAATTTTGACAGTATTAGACAAGATATTTCACGAGTTGATTGGGAGAAGCTACTCACAGGTAAAGGGACGGTTGGAGAGTGGGAAGCCTTCAAAAACGAGATAGCGAGAGTACAGAGGCAGCGTGATCCTGTTAGGGTGAAAGGCAAGGCTGGTAGGTGTAGGGAATGATGGATGACTAGCGAAACTGAGGCTCTGGCCAAGAAAAAGAAGGCATATGGCAGGTATTGATAGCTGGAATCGAGTGAATCCCTCGAGGAGTACAACAGCAGTAGGAGTATACCCATGAGTAAAATCAGGAGGGCAAAAAGGGGACATGAGATAGCTTTGGCAAATAGGGTTAAGGAGAATCCGGAGAGATTCTGCAAATACATTAAGGGCCAAAGAGTAACTAGGGAGAGAATAGGGCCCCCTAAAGATCAACAAACCCATCTATGTGTGGAAACCGCAGGAGATGGATGAGATACTAAATGAGTATTTCGTGTCAGTATTTACAGTGGAGAAGGATACGGAATCTAGACATCTTCAAGAAATAAACAGTGATACCTTGAAAAGTGGCCATATTACAGAGGAGGAGGTGCTGGAGGTCTTAAAACGCATAAAGGGTGGATAAATCCCCAGGACCTGGTCAGGTGTACTCTAGAACTCTGTGGGAAGCTAGAGAAGAGATCGCTGAGATATTTGGATCATCGATAGACACAGGCGAGGTGCCAGAAGACTGCAGGTTGGCTAACGTGGTGCCTCTATTTAAGAAAGGTGGTAAAGAAAAGCCAGGGATCTATAGACCAGTGAGCCTGACATCTGAGGTGGGCAAGTTGTTGGAGGGGGTCCTAAGGGACAGGATTTTCATGTGCTTGGAAAGGCAAAGACTAATTAGGAATTATCAAGGATAGTAGGAACTGCAGATGCTGGAGAATCCGAGACAACAAGGTGCAGGCCTGGATGAACACAGCAGGCCAAGCAGCATCATAGGAGCAGAGAGGCTGCAACAAGGTGCAGGGCTGGATGAACACAGCTCAACAAGGTGCAGGGCTGGATGAACACAGCTGCTCCTATGATGCTGCTTGGCCTGCTGTGTTCATCCAGCCCTGCACCTTGTTGTTAGGGATTATCAACATGGCTTTGTGCATGGGAAATCGTGTCTCTCTAACTTGATTGAGTTTTTTGAGGAGGTGACAAAGAGGATTGATGAATGCAGAGTGATGGGTGTGATCTATGTGGACTTCAGTGAGGTGTTCAACAAGATTCCTCGTGGTAGACTGGTTAGCAAGGTTAGATCACATGGAGTACAGGGAGAACTAACTAGCCATTGGGATACAGAACTGGCTCGAAGATAGGAGACGGAGGGTGGTGGTGGAGGGTTGTTTTTCAGACTGGAGGCCTGTGCCACAAGGATTGGTGCTGGGTTGCTGCTTTTCATCATTTATATAAGTGATTTGGATATGATTATAGGAGGTATGGTCAGTAAGTTTGCAGGTGGCACTAAAATTGGAGGTGTAGTGGACAGCGAAGAAGGTTATCTCGGAGTACAATGGGACCTCAATCAGATGGGCCAATGGGCCGAGGAGTGGCAGATGGAGTTTAATTTAGATAAGTGTGAGGTACTGCATTTTGGAAAGGCAAATTCGGGCAGGATTGATATACTTAATGGTAAGGTCCTGGGAGTGTTGCCAAACAAAGAGACCTTGGTGTTCAGGTTCATAGTTCCTTGAAAGTGGAGTTGCAGGTAGACAGGGCGGTGAAGAAGGTGTTTGGTACGCTTGCCTTTATTGGTCAGTGCATTGATTATAGGAGTTAGGAGGGTCATGTTGCGGCTGTACAGGACATTGGTTAGGGCCACTTTTGGAATACTGCGTTCAGTTCTAATCTCCTTGCTATAGGAAAGATGTTGTGAAACTTGAAAGGCTTCAGAAAAGATTTACAAGGATGTTGCCAGGGTTGGAGGCTTTGAGCTTGAGGGAGAAGCTGAATAGGCTGGGGCTATTTTCGCTGGAGCGTCAGAGGCTGAGGGGTGACTCTGTAGAGATTTATAAAATCATGAGGGGCATGGATAGGGTAAATAGTCAATGTCTTTTCCCCCAGGGTAAGAGAGTCCAAAACCGGAGGGCATAGGTTTAAGGTGAGAGGGGGAAAGGTTTAAACGGGACATGAGGGGCAACTTTATCATGCAAAGGGTGGTGCATGTATGGAATGAGCTGCCAGAGGACGTTGTAGAGGTGGGTATAATTATGACATTTAAAAGGCACCTGGATGGGTATATGAATAGGAAGGGTTTAGAGGGATATGAGCCAAATGCTGGCAAATGGGACTAGATTAATTTAGGATATCAGGTCGGCATGGATGAGCTGGAGTAAAGGGTCTGTATTTGTGCTGTACGACTCTCTGACTCATATACTTGCCTCCTTTGTCACCTGTTTAGTTTCTCCCATCAATTTCTGTTTCTAATTCCCAGAATCCGCAGTTCTTTAGTTTGTTTTTGCACTGAAGAGTAAGGTGAGTGGGAATAAACTCAGTAGATGGAATATAATGTGGGGAAATGAGAGGTGATGCACTTTGACAGGTAACATAGAGTAGCTGAATATTACTGAAATGGAACAGAGAGATTGTCCATGTGCATTCATCACAAAAAGCAAGTGCCTAATTTCAGCAGGTGAAAGGGAGGGGAAACAGTCTTTATTTTGAGGGGAATGGAGTGTACAAGTCAGGGGGATTTGCTAAAACTGTACAAGGCACTAGTCAGACCACAGCTGGGATACAGTGAATGATCTTGGGGCCCTGTATCTAAGAAAAGATAGACTGGCATTGGAGACAGTCTGGAGAGTGTTCTTTGGATTGATCCTGGGTATGGATGGACTGTCTGACGCGGTGAGGGTTGAGTAGATAGGGTCTGTACTCTGGAGTTTAGAAGAATGAGAGGTGACGTTATTAGGTAGTTGAACCCTGTATCTAACCCCCATCTGTCGCTGTCCTGGAAGTGTTTGACACGGGACAGTTTGGAGAGAGCTTTACTCTGTATCTAACCGGTGCTGTCCCTGTCCTGGGAGTGTTTGATTGGGGATGGGGGGAGACAGTGTAGAGGGAGATTTACTCCACGGTTTCAAGCTGAAAGTTTGCTCTCTCTGTGCTCTCTTCACACAGCCCCACCAAAGGGAGACAGAGTGAGGCCGCTGCGAGAGGAGGAGGAGGAGGAGGAGGAGGAGGAGGAGCCTGCCCCCATTGCCTCCGGAGGAGGAGGAGGGCTGAGCAACCAGGGCGGGCGGCGCCCCCGACACCAGTGCGGCGTCTGCGGCAAGGGCTTCCTGCACCCGTCGTCGGTGAGGACCCACCAGCGGGTGCACACGGGTGAGAGGCCGTTCCTCTGCGCCTCCTGCGGCAAGGCCTTCAAGCACCTTTCCGAGGTGACCGTCCACGAGAGGGTGCACACGGGCGAGAGGCCGTTCGCCTGCAGCGTCTGTGGCAAGGCCTTCGTCAACTCCTCCAACCTGCTGACCCACCGGCGGGTGCACACCGGCGAGCGGCCCTACAAGTGCGCCGTCTGCGGCAAGGACTTCACACAGTCTGGGGAGCTCAAGAAACACGGCCGGGTCCACACCGGCGAGCGGCCCTACAAGTGCGCCGTCTGCGGCAAAGGCTTCACCCGCTCTCCCCACGTCAAGCGACACCAGAGGGTCCATGCCCGGCATCTGGGCGCCGTGACTCTCTGATGGACTCCCCTCTCTCTGCCAGCTTGATCTCCAGGAAAGGGGTGGCGTGCAAACTCTCCGTCTCTCTCTCTGTGTGTCTCTCTCTCTCACGTGATCTCCTGTCATTGTTGTGATGTTTGTTGTCCATCCGGCTCTTGGCCCCGACCCACACACACACACACACACACCCAGATTCCCGCCGGCAAACCCCAGGCAGGAAAGGCCAATGCTTTTGTCTGTGAGTGAGCTGTTTGTTTCAGGAAGTGGTCGGCACTGTCTATGGACGTGCACACACACACTGACACACTGACACACTGACACACTGACACACTGACACACTGACACACTGACACACTGACACACAGACACACACACATCACACTGACACACAGACACACACACA